ATCTGAACTCTGGCCCTCATGCTTGTCACAAGCCCTTGAACTGCTAAGTCAGCCCCTAAATCCTATATACATTGTTTTTAACTTTAAGAGAAGAAAAGGGAATTCACAAAGCACTTCAGAAGGGCTTTATCTGAAAGAAGAACCAGGTCCAGTTTGGCCTGTAAGGAGGGATGGTGATGATATTTCTCCAGGCAAGATATCCTTGGCAAAGCCTTTTAATAGATAATTTTAGGTGGTAATCAGCGTGTTTCTTCTATCTGGAGGACTGGGTTTCCAAGATGAATGATGATAATATCTATTTCCCAAAGACTTCAGTAGAGGCTGAGTGATCTAGGGAACAAAGGAATGAGTCTCATTTGAAGAGATCTCGGGGCCTTTAATGGAGGAATAGTCTCCTCAAGATCAAACTCTCATTTCCAAATTGTTGACAAAGTGTATCAAATTTTGTTACCAGTAACACAGACTACAGCTTGAACTCCTAAGTAGCCCTGTAAAGCTAACCAACTGCCTAAAAGGACATTGACATATGGTTCAAGGGAGGTGGTTAAGACTTGTCTGACTTTAGTAGCAGAGCAAGCCTGAGTGGCTGTGTTTTTAGTGAGCTAGTGTGTGTTCATGTGTTTGTGTATTTGTGCCTGTGAGTGTGCAGAAAACATCAGGCATCTTTCCCAGTCACTCTCCACTTTTTTGTTTTTGTCTGTTTGTTCAGTTTTGTGTGTGAATATGCATGTGTGTATGTATGGGGTGTGCATGTGTGTATGTGTGTAAATACATTTCCCTTTATTGATTTGTTTCCTAAACTTTTTTTTATGGTGCAGCAGGTTTGTGAATCTAACTGCTTGCTCCCTCTAATAACTGATCAAATCAGCTTCCGATTTGGATAAAACCATCCCAGAGGAAAACATGTGGCTCCCTGACTCCTGCAGATGGGATGCAGGGAGCCTTCCCAGGGTCTGTGCCGTGAGTTTTGGTTGGCTGTACATGCATATTGGTGAATTTATGAAGGAGAAGGGCTTTTGGTTTTGACCTGATCTTCTCTGTGTATAATAGTCTAATTGTTCACTTCATCGTCTGTAGAGATCCTGGTAAACTTGACTTCTTTTGCACTCTTGGTACCAATTTTTAAAGAAGGTACCTTTGAGGTGCTCATCATTTTGAGTGATGGCTGAGCCACTGGAGGGATGGTTGTTTGCCATGTGACAAGGGAAGTTCAGCTTTTGCTCGGCAGAGCACGCGCTCCATTTGCTTTTCTGTGCACCTGCTTGGGCATTTTTGCTTAGTTGTTCTAGTCATTATCTCTATTTGGTGTGTGAAGCTCATTTGGAGTCACCCTGAGTCACCTTGGAACATAAATTTATAAGAGATGAATTCTCACTGCTATTTGAGGCTTAGGCAGCCATTGGGGTGTCACTTGTGTTGTTAGATAGATCAAGGTCTGCAGAAAACTTTCCTCTTGGGGAGACGGCTCACTTGAGAAAGTGTCTGCTGTGCAAGCCTGAGGACCAATTATGGATCCCCGAGTAAAAGCTGGGCAGGGCAGCCTGCTGCTATAACCCCCAAACCAGGGGTGAGGACACACAGCTGGATCCATGGAGCTTTTTGAAGGGATCAGTATTGGCTCAGGATCCCCAAGACAGACAGACAGACAGACAGACAGACAGACAGACACACGCACACGCACACGCACACGCACACGCACACACACACATATTCACACACATCTCATATCTATACATAATTAAAAATAAAATAAATTTAGAAAATGATAGTTACTTATGTTTTCTGATGTTTTGGTAAGGCTTTTGGGTACTTAGGAAAGGTTCATTTAAGTATCTGTTTATATTGAAGTCTTTTATTTTTTTTTTTTATTTTTTTTTTTAAAGATTTATTTATTTATTATGTATACATTGTTCTGTCTATACATATCCCCACAGGCCAGAAGAAGGCACCAGATCTCATTACAGATGGTTGTGAGCCACCATGTGGTTGCTGGGAATTGAACTCAGGACCTTTGGAAGAGCAAGCAGTGCTCTTAACCTCTGAGCCATCTCTCCAGCCCAGTCTTTTAAATGACCACTTTATAAACAATTATCATTCAAAGTGATTCAAGTACATTTAGTGCCCAATGTAGCTATGGTTAAAAATGTATGCATACATAAAATAACAAATAATAATAATTGAAAAATAGCTTTAAAATGTGTGTAGGGCCACAGGATGGCTCAGCAAGTTAAGGTGCTTGCTGCTAAGCCTGATGCCCTGAGTTCAATCCCTGGGACTGACATGGTAGAAGGAGATGCAGGAGAACTGACTCCTGTCAGTGTCCTCTGACCTGCATGCATGTACAATGGCACATGTGCACCCTCATGGGATGAAGAGATAAATTGAAATGTACATAGCTATATGTCTAAAGTTTCTATAAATGCCATATAACAGGTTTAATTCAAAGGCATAGAAGTATAATACAATAAAAGCACATGAGAATGTATATATGAATGTACACACACACACACACACACACACACACACACACACACACTCTTTTTTTTTCTGAGATAAGGTTTCTCTGTGTAGCCCTGGTTGTCCCAGAATTCACTCTGTAGACCAGGCTGGCCTTGAACTCAGAGATCCGCCTGCCTCTGCCTCCCCAAATGCTGAGATTAAAGGCTTACACCACCACTGCCCGACCACACATGTTTCTTATTCCACGATAAGACAGAAAAAGAGAGCTAATGCCTTGTTAATGAGTTTGAAGAACAGGATGTTTAGAAATTAGAGGATGGATTTATAAGAAACATGGAATATTATTAGTCTTTTATATCATACACTATAGAACTTTTATTTTCTATAATTTCATATCATTCAGTCTCCTCCACACTGTAAAAAGTTTATGTAAATCTTGTAATGATCCCTACCTTATAAGATATTTACCCAAATTTTTAAATCTCCACCATTTGGTATGATGCATGGAAAACTGAAAAAATATTTTGAGCTTTATTTTATTTTATACGTATGAGTGTTTTCTTTGAAAGTATGCGTGTGTGTCACATGTGTGACTAGTCCTCACAGAGAACAGAAGAGGGCATTGGATATCAGGGAACTGGAGTTACAGATGGTTGTGAGCCATCATGTAGGTCCTGGGAACTGAACCTTGGTCCTCTTTGAGAGTAACTTGTGCTATTAACCTCCATGCATCTCTCTAGCCCTTATGCAGAACCTAGTACAACTCTTGTTTATTTGAAGGTTGCTACAGTCCCAGAACTTGAGCAGCCCACCCCTTCCTGCTTTCCTTCATTTCTTTTGCACCATTTTTTTTTCAAACTAACCCATCAACCAAACAAACAACCAACAACTGTGAGGCCTTTTGCCCCAGCTAATGGGTAAAAGTCACAGTTCCCTTGCATTTGTATAAAAACCTATTGAATTTCCTGCCTGAGGGTGCTTGCTCTCCTACCTTTGACAGCAACACATGCTTCTGGTCAGAAGGGACTTTGTACCATGTTGGGGAGCCTTTTGAAACCCTGGACCTATTTCTAGCACAGTCATTTAAAGAAGAGCAAACCAGACCTCACCTGTCCGTTCAGCTGAGCAGAAGGCCAGCCTCATAGCTTGTTTTGTCAGCATATTGAAACAAAGGAGGGAAAGGCACGTGGGACTTTTGTCCTAAGAATCCTTTACCATGTCAGGCGGTGGTAGCACAATCCTTTGATCCCAGCACTTGGAAGGCAGAGGCAGGCAGATCTCTGTGACTTGGAGGCCAGCCTGGTCTACAGAGCTACTTCTAGGACAGCTAGGGCCGTTGCACAGAGAAACATTGTCTGGAAAAACAAAATAAAACAAAACAGAATACTTTACCATGTCAGGCAGTGGAGGCTCACACCTTTAATCCCAGCACTTGGGAGGCAGAGACAAGCAAATCTCTTGAGTTTGAGACCAGCCTGGTCTATAGAGTGAGTTGCAGGACAGGTAGGGAGGGGCTACACAGAGAAACCCTGCCTCAAGAAACAAACAAACAAACAAACAAACAAACAACAGAATATTTTACCAGACTTTGATTTTTACAAGGGAAGGAATTTCTTTACTGGCCACTACTAACCAAGTATAGCATAAAAAACCAAAACAAAACAATAAACAGATATTAGCAACCTGGATCCCTATGATGCTTCCAACGTTTATGGTGGGTGTTTGTTACCTTCTAGGTTGCCTTCAATCTGCCACTCACAGCAAATGAAGTAATCACCACAGGCAAATACACATAGATCATTCTGGGTCAGGAGATGAAAGGGTGTAATGGGAAATTTAGTATAGTCATTGTATCTGGTGTGAACATCAAACGGCGTAGCTGTGTTTTGGAAGTACTTAGACCTTGAAAAGATCATTGTAGAAAACCGTGATTGTTTTCTGTGCTAGAGTTGTTTTCCTGAAGGAGCTTTACAGCCTTTGCATGACTTCAGTCACAAGATGTTCCTGTCAAACCAGGAAGTCTTGCATTATTGAGTACCGCAAACAGTGCACACTAAGGGCTGAGATTGCTAAGGTGATGTGTTTGTTCCTTCAGGAAACACAGCGATTAGATCAGTGGCTCTTGTGTGAGGAACTTGGCTTGCTCCCAGAACAGCTTTTGTGTAACAGTCAGTTCTGCAACTTCCCTTTTGTCTAAGTCTGTCTCTTCTGGAGCAGGAGGAGGAAGGGGAGGAGGAGGAGGACGGGGAGGAGGAGAAAGGGGAAGGAAGAAACTCTTCTCCATCATTCCTGGCCCTCCTTTCTTTATCTTCTTCTGAAACACCTCTCTCCTTGATAATTCCTAACCTGATGTCCCCTTCTGAGTCCCCTAGCTGTATCTGATCTAGCCCCTTTGAACAGTTTGTTCAGTGTAGCTAGTAAAATGTGATTACATGGGAGTCCCAGGCACAGTAAGGTTGGTTACATTGTTTTCTTAAAGTCAAGATAAATTTAAACAAGTTGAGCACACAGGAAGAAAGCATACTGGGTACATAGTTTTAAATGGTTGAGAAGTTGGACAAAAGTTCAGTTTCTGAAGGCCAGCTGACAAGGCATTTCCAGAAATCATTCCCACAGTGACTATAGCTGAGTGGTGTCAGGGTATAAAGGAACCACCCAAGGGGCTCAGACCGCACAGCACAGGTAAGGAAGGAGCAGCAGTCCAGCCTGGTGCAGCAGGGGAGGCCAGAGGGAAAATGGAGGATGGGTTGAGCAAGCTAGAGACTGAACCATGAGGGACAGATGGAGGGGTGTGCAATATGGGGTTTCTCCAGGAGTAGCTTTAGACTTTGGGGAGCCCAGTGTGATATGACATCATGGGATCTCTTGCTAAGAGCTGAGTTGGAATGGAAGCACTGTGACATTGGGGGGTTGCAGTGTGGGCATGTGGGTGAAACCGTCCCAGGGCCCTTCTGAAGCCTTCAGAGACTGTGGAAAAAGAGGGTTCCCATATGTTCCCTTGTCTCAGTCTGTGGTGTTGTAATCCCAAATCTGGTGTCTTTTCCTCAGAGCCTTTTTGAAGTCACTTGTGCCCCAAACCCTCAGGAGCCATGCTGCTCTTGCTGACCTTGGCTCTCCTTGCTGGTGCCACCTGCAGAGCCCAGAGTGAGTACCTGAGCCTCCTTTGTGGCCTTCACCTCCTGTGTCCTGTCCTAGGCATAAGGGGCTCGAGTGTGAGAGTGGCCCTGAGTGTTTTCTGCCTCACTTTCCCCAGATGTACTGGGCAATAATAGAGGCGGCAGATATTTCTACGTTCATGGTGAAGAGAAGGGGGAAATCAAGACCATCCGGATCTTCTATTCACTAACAAGACTCCTCAAGGGGTGAGTAGGGTTCTGTCTCCTTGGCTTCCTGTAGTACTCCCCTCTGTGCCTGCTCCTGTGGCTTGTCTAGAACCATCACCTGAGCTAGCCCACTCAGAGCTGGAATGCCCAGGCTCGGGTAGGACTAGACAATCCTCAGGGAGGCAGGTGGAGAGGTACCTCCGACTTTGTGATTCAGAGAGGATCATAGAGGCTGAAGGGTCCCTCCTCCACATAGTTCTGGTGGTCCTAGTGCTCCTTGGCAGTCACAGGAACTGCTTACATGGTCTGAGAAATGTCCCTGCCTTCACTGGACATGAAATGATGGGCAGTTCACTCTCTTAATATTGGACCTTTGCTCTGCTATAAAAAGGCCAGCCATTCCCTAGGGACAGGCCAGAGCTTGACTGTCCTCATCAGCTTCTTCCTCATGAGGTCTGCTGTGCTCCTAGAGTGCCTCAAAGGCCGTGTGCTACTGTTGCAAAGCTTGTTAAATGCAAGCACAGTGCCCAAGGTTAATAGAGTTTCAGATATATAGATGGAAGTTTCTCAGTCCTGCCTGCTCCTACAGGAGCTGTTTTTATAATAATCATTCATAGGCTCAACATTAATTACAAACTGTTTGGTCTATGGCTAAGGTTTATTGCTAGATAGCTATTAAATCTTAAATCAATCTATTTCTATTCATCTATGTATAGCCTTGAGTCTCATGTCTTTACTTATGTTCTGGTACTTCTTGCTCCCTTGGCGGCCTGGAGCATCTCCCCTCACTTTCTTCTCCCTGTATCTCAGCTTGGATTTCCTGCCTGGCTATAACCTGTCTTACCACAGGCCAAAGCAGTCTCTTTATTAACCAATGGTAGCAACACATAATCACAGCATATGGAAAGACATCCCACAGCCCAGATGATCAATGGATGTTCTTTTTCTGTGTCTCCTGTGTAATATTGAGGACATCTAAATCCTTTAACATTCGAAGTTGGGAGACAGGGAGAAGGCTGAGCAGAAAAAATGTTTGCTGTTCAAGTACGAGGCCTGAAGTTTGGGTCCCCAGGACCTGTGTGAAAGCTGAGAACAGCAGCACAAGTCTGTAAACCTCAAGCTGTGGGAGCAGAGACAGGGAGATCCTGCTGACTTGGCTGGCCAGAGTCTTACCCAAAATGCAATTCCAGGGTCACTTGGAGACTCTGCCTAGGAAAATAAGGTGGCATACCTGGAAAAATGGCAGAGAAAGTAAGAAAGAACATTTGCTCTGCAAACACGAAGACCTGAGTTGCATCACCAGAACCCGTGTAAAAGGAAGGAGTAGCCTGGCAAATGGAGGGGACTGTGAGTTAAGCACTGGGGCAGCAACAGGAACATCTCAGGAGCTCTTGGGCATCCAGTCTAGCTGCAACACTGAACTTGCGTTCAGTGAGAGAGTTTGTCTCCAAGCAATAAGGCAGATAGCCAGAGAGAAAGATAGTCAGTGTCCTGCTCTAGCATCTGCATGCTCAAAACATGCATCACAGATGGACAGACAGACACACACCACCACCACTACAACAACAAACACATCATCACACCACACACATCACACACCACACACATCAAATACCACATCACAGGCAAACACACACACACACACACAAACACACCACACACACACACACACACACACAGGGACAGTGATCAGGAAAGACACTCAACACCTAACTATAGCCTCCACAACACAGGCAAACAGACATGTATACACTGCCTACACACACACAACTCAGAACTGACAAAATGGTTATACTTCCCCTACCCCTTTTGTGGTAATGGAGGTTGAAATCAAGACATACTACCGTGTTTTGTCTATACCATCAATCTCATGACACAGGGTCCCCCTATGGATCCGAGGCTGGCATTAAGCCCAGAGTCCTTGCTCCTCATCCTCACAACTGCTGGAGAGTCTATGGCCATGCTTTTAAAATGCAATAATGGTTCAAACTTGTGCCGTTTGATTTTTTTCACATGAATTCTTTTTTTTTTCACTGTACAAAGTAGGAGTTTTATTAGGACATTTTCCACACAAGTATACCATGTGCTTTTTCAGTATTTTCCTCATTTCCCTCTTCTGCACCCTCTCCTACTTTTGCTGAATCTCTTCTTCTTCTTTTTTCCTTTTATTTTATTTTACAATACCATTCAGTTCTACATATCAGCCATGGATTTCCTTGTTCTCCCCCCTCCTGCCCCCCTCCCCTTACCCTCAATCCAACCCCCATTCCCACCTCCTCCAGGGCAAAGCCTCCCCCGAGGACTGAGATTGACCTGGTAGACTCAGTCCAGGCAGGTCCAGTCCCCTCTTCCCGGACTGAGCCAAACATCCCTGCATAAGCCCCCGGTTTCAAACAACCAACTCATGCAATGAGCACAGGACCTGGTCCCACTGCCTGGATGCCTCCCAAACAGATCAAGCCAATCAACTGTCTCACCTATTCAGAGGGCCTGATCCAGTTGGGGGCCCCTCAGCCTTTAGTTCATAGTTCATGT